CCTATCCCCTGTGTGCCTTGCCTCCCACGACTAAATGAGAACTTACATTTGATCTAGATCAAAATTCAAAAAAAATATTCTCAAACTTTAAAACATACTCTATGTTGTCCAATTTGATATATAATAGCTAATCATGTCCTCCTTAATCCAAAAATAAATAATCTTATAACAGATAATCGCTATATATATAGTTAGACACAGTCCATTTCAAGACACGGATACGTCCAGTATGAAGCGAGAGGCATCTTTTCTAAGATAGCAGTATAGAGGGAAATGCAACAATTATGCAATAATATTGTATCCAATTTGAAAAAAATAATTAACTAAACTTAAAATTAGAAAAAAACAATTGAATTTTTGGAAGCACCCCAACCAACCAATTTGACATCCAATGACTATAAGTATTTAAGAAATCCTTGTATCAAAGATGAATGATGTCGTAGTATACAAATCCCCTATCATATATGGGGGATTACCACCACTCCATGATGTCGGATTCATGATGTCAGATGGCGGATATCAACCAAGCCCACGTCCGATCCACAATTAAATAAATCACCAAGCAAATTAAATAATCACCAATCATCATTAAAATGGAGAGTGGATGGCCTCAGCCCCAATCCCTTTTCTCTTTTTGTTGGCCACATTCGTGTAGCATGCATTACTCTTTAAGGTATGGCAACATTTGTAACGTGCAAAAAATAAGGCAACACTTGGTTCCTTAAAATTAAAACCTTGCACAAAAAAAAAAAATTGCTCAAAAAATAGCTTTTAAATAGGACAAAAATTATATAAAGCTGAAGTTCTAAACAATCAAATTAGAGCCCACCTCAAAAAATTTCAGGTTGCTCGAATGCCCCAATATCTTCAAATTTATTATCTCAACATCAAGATACACCGACATGAAAAAAAATAATAGATTTCAAGTTTAGAAAGGTACGATTTGTATAGAGTGCAATTTGTATAGAGCCTAAACTCTAAACACTCAAATTAGAGCCTACCTTCAAATAGTATCGAGATATGTGGTTTCGATAGCCTTAAAATAACTTTTTATATTTATTGATAAAGTTTAAAGCTTAAAAAATAATGTAAGTCGACATATCTACGAAAGCTTGAAAATCTTGAAAATTGACGGTCCACAAATACATTAAACTTTTCCCTTTAAAAATAGTACATCTTGTAACACATTTTTTTTCTATTAATTTTCAAGATTTTCAAGTCTTCAAATTTCGCTCAATCTACACTATTTTTTAAGCTTTAAATTTTATCATTAAAAATGATAATATATTTTAAAGCTATCACAAAGATTTCCAAGATTGAAACCTCATTTCCCGACACTATCTGATGGTGCGCTGTACAAAATAAATTTTATATCAAACAACCAAAATAATAAATAGTCTCGTATTATACAACCACTTAAATAAACAGTAACGCCCCAATACTAAAATAAAGCAAGACACCAACATAAGCACCAATTAATTTTGATAATTTAATGGTTGTTTACATGAACCGAGCTCATGGGCCGGTCTGAGTAACTCAAAATCGGTTCTGGGCAACCTGGGGAAATCAGGCAAGTCGGCCAAATTTTATTTTTAAAAAAATAAAAAATAGTACTTGAAAAGAGAGGTTACATCAATTCAGCCAATTTTTTTGAATGTAACAATTAAGAAAATTATGGAACACAATATACCCCCTCACAAAAAACAAAAAAAAAAAAAAACGAAAAAAAACACAAAAAAAAAATGGTCACACACCTCATGTGAGGTGTTAAACGTGGGAAGAACTATTCTCTTTCATTGAAATGGTGCCAACGCCAATAATTCTCCCTAATTTCCCGTTAATTACTTAGAGAGTATACTGCAGTTTCAATCCCTTCTCAATTGTTTGTTTCTCTCTCTAAAATGCTGAGAGATCGAGCATAAACAAAATTCTCAGTTGTTTGTTTCTCTCTGTAAAATGCAGCTGTTTCTGCTGAGAGATAGTGCACAAATAATTCTCTCTCTAAAATACCACTGTTTCAGCTGAGAGATCGAGCATAAACAAAATTTTCAGTTGTTTGTTTCTCTCTCTCTAAAATGCAGCTGTTTCTGCTGAGAGAGAGTGCACAAATAATAGAGATGGAGATTAATGCATAAACTATAATAAAGAATAAAGAGAAGCTCAATAAAAAAAGAAAATGTACAATTTTTATCTTTCCAGATCAAACAAAGGGAGCCAAAATTTGCAGATAAAAACCTGAAGTCATTAATAATTATTCAGCTCTGTACACAATTCATGCCTAACAAATAAAACACCAAAACCCCAGAGAGAGAAAGATAGAGAGAGAGGGCCCTGCATACAGTAAAGATAAAACAAGCAAAAGAAATATAACTTTGAGTATAAAAAAAAGTTAAATATGCATTATAATACTATGAAAATGGCCGACAATTATTCAGCTGGGATCACATTTTATCAGACTCCTTCCCTAACATCCAATACCATTATAACTGCATAAAATAAACAGCAAACATCAACATGTAAAACCCAGTAGCTGAACCTTAGAGAGACAGAGAGAGAAGAGAAACCCAATACCTGAACCAGAGAGAGAAGAGAGAGAAAGAGAGACCCAATACCTGAATTAAGAGAGAGAGAGAGAGAGAGAGAGAAAAGAAGAGAGAGAGAGAGAGAGAGAGAGAGAGAGAGGGGAGAGAGAGAACATTACTAATAACAACCATTAGAAAACCAAAAAAAAAAACATACCCCCCACTAAGTAAAACGAGTTGAAAATCGTCATCCATAACTGTGCAAAAATCACTCTACTACTCACTGTAAACCAGCAGTGCCAGGCGTGTACATGGCAAGATCAGGCCCCCACGCCGCTCCAATCCAAGCTTCATTCTGCAACATCAATGGTGCCCCGCTATCTCCGCTTTCCGGCAAACCCCAAAACCCCCTTTCACCTGAATTCAGCAGAGAACTGAAACTCCCTGTTATCTCCATCATTTTCACCTCCTCCTCACGGACCCCACTGTAGATCCCGGCCAATTTCCCGGCCAAATTTCCGACCACTGGTTCATTTTCCGGCGCAGCCACAGCCTTTGGCCGAGCAGTCGAGGAAGCTGAACGTTTCGTGTTTTTCCGGCTTCCCCCACCAACTGGAATGTTCCGAAGAGCTCCTCCTTTTGTCCAATATCTTCTGCAATTTTTGCAGAAATGGCGAGGTTGAGAGAGATTGTAATTGTTGTAATAGCAAAACTTGGTGTTCATGGATTCGCATCGAGGGCATTTGAGTTGTTGCTGCTCTTGATCAATAAAGCTTTGGGGTTTCAAAGCCCTCTTATCAGAGATCATTTGGGCTTGGTCCTGCATTTTCACTCTCTCTCTTCCTCTCGTTCCTCACCTTCCTCCTTCCAGAGAGATCAAAATCTAGAGAGAGAAAGAGGAAGTCCACTTAATTGTGCTTTTTGTTGTGGGGATTGGTAAATTTTCTCACACTTGTGGGTTCTCTTCCTCTGCAATTCTAGAGAGAACTCTATTTTCTCTCCCCTCTTCTCTTTATTGTTTCGTAGAGCTGATGCCGATGATTCTCTCTCTTTGGTTGTTTTCTAGAGAGAGAAAGAACCTGCAGAGTTTACTCTCTTCTCTGTCCGTTATCAAAGAAAAAGATGGGCTTTATTTCCCTAGAAAGAGAGAGTCTTCTCCTTCAAACTTTTGAGCATTTGAAGTGGATTTTCATGGAAACAGATTACTCCAACTGAAGCGAGGAAAAAAGATGGCTCTGATTTGATGTGGGTTTTCTATGGAAGTTGCAAATCTTCAACAAAAGAACAAGAACAGTAGAAACTTGGATCTTGAAATGGGTTTCCTAAGAACCTTCCTTTAGAGAGAGAAAGAACCATTGAATTTGGGTTGATTTTGTGATGTGGGTTTCCTCGGAAACTTCAATAACACAATGAAAGTGCTCAGGTATTAATGGACACAATTAACCTCTATCTGAAACTCTCATTTCAGAGAGAGAGATGTAACTGTACCTAGAGAGAGAAAATGACCTGCTTCCTCAGAGTGAACAGATCATTGAGAATTTGACATGGTTTTTCATGAAAAAGCATAGGTTTTATTGTGTTTGGAAGCCTTACATGCAAGTATGAGAGAACTACCAGATTTTTCAGGAACTCAGGTAAGGGCTTTCATGGAGATAGAAAAGAGTCTAGAGAGAGAGGGGGTGAGGGAAAGGGTTGACAGTGGATTCTTGATGGAGAGAGAAAGTTGTTGAAGGTGTATTAAAGGACTTGAAGTGCTTTTATACTTATGGAAATAAGTTCCCTTATTTAGCTCATCTAAGTTTCAGGGTCTGAGAAATTGTTTGTCTCTAAGATATTAAATGTGCTTGTTTTAATCTGACTCATAGTTCCTCTTCTTTCTTTCTGTTTTTTTTTTTCTTTTTTTTTTCTTTTTTCTTATTCATATTACTATAAGAAAATGATTATTAGGCACTTAATAATAAAAAATTATGTTATAAATAAATAAAATATTATTACTATCATCTGAGTTTTATTCCAATTATTTAGATATAAATCTTATTTTACCATTTTACATATTTTACAGTACAACTAATATTTAGGATGATTCAAACTTTGGTGATGTCCCATTTTGTAGTAAAACTAAATACCCTCCAATATTATATGTAGGAAAATATTATTGGATACAATGAAACGCCATAAAATTACACAGTAAATACCATAAAATTATACATGAAATTAAAATTATACATGGAAGGAGTAAGTGCAAATAATAAAGCAAAGATTAATGAGTGGCAATAAGGGCCAAATGGCCCAAAAAGAAGAAAAAAAATTAGTGAGAGGGAAATTTACGCAAAAAATCCCAAAAGGAAAAAGTACGAGTAGAGGCAAGAATGGAAAATATAAGTAAGAATAAACTACATAGAACTAACTAAGAAGCTAATATTTGATAAATAAGTTAAAATGGGAAAATGAGAAGTTTCTCATATCCAAACAAAAAAGAGGGCTTGTTGGTCATGAAAATACGTAAAATAAATAATTTAAGGAAGTTAATAAAATAATGACCCGGTTTTTATGCTGTCAAGCCCACATATGTAGAAATGCGGGCCTTGATAAATTTATTTTTGAGATGGATTTTAATGCTTAACTTTTAAGGGTAAGGAATCTCTGGCATGGAGGTCATGAATATGAATAAATAAACAAATTTTAAAAATTATAAATAATAATTCTAGTAAAAAAATATTTGGACCGTTAGTTTCCATTGTATTTAGATGAAACACCTACTTGCATCCATCCTTAAGATGGATGCTTTACACTTTTTAGACCGCATTTGTAAAAATGCGGTCCAACCCCCAAGAAGTATTTTTCCATTAAATAAAAGACATGTAGGGAAATTTATTAAATCACTTATAAGAGAAGAACAATTTAATATTTTCTATATTTTTAATTTATTTTTTAAAAATATCATTGAAAAAATATATGCTTTTATGTTGGGGTATGATTTGCATAAAGTTGCAATCTTAAACAATCAAATTAAGACGCACCTCCAAATTCAAGTATGAGATGAAATTTTGGTGTAAAAATTTCATAATGGCCTGAAATTTTATTTTCATTTCTAATTATAAAATTATTTTAAACTTCACAAATGGTTTAAATCAAGTAGATCTATAAACACATAACAATCTTTAAAATTGATGATCCATATAATGAGTTGCAAGATGCACCATTTCTTGGATTTGAATTTTTTTTTTTTTTCATATTTATTGATCTCGATGTCGAGATGATTAATTAGAGGGTATTTTAGCATCAAAACGCCTTTTTATGTGCACTTTAATTCTACATTTAAAAATTGTAACCTGCCTTGTTTCCAAATTAGAAGACCTATGGTGATGGAGAAAGGGGACCGATTTCTCTCAACACTATTATTTGGTAGTGATGACACTAATGACTATAGATTATCTAATGATCATATGCATCGCAATAGCTTCCTCAAACAATACTCTTTAAATTTAAAATAAAAAATATTTATTATAATGTACCCCATTTTCCAACTAGGTAACACACGACTTGAAATAATATTGATGTTAAATCGGAATCAATAGCTGCCCATAAAATTGATAAAAGCATGACCAAATAATATTTTTATTTTTAATATTTATATTTACCTTAACTTTTAAATTTTTTTATTAATTGATTTTCTTTGCTGGGTTGTTGATCCAAACCGGTTTCCCATTTGGCTGGTTAACCCGATTTTGAATTATTAATTGAACATTTTACCTTTTTTGTACAATTTTGGCTTTAAAATCATGTGCAATTTGAAATAGAGAAATGAATCTCTAAGACCCTCTCACATTAGTGTGTGTAGGATTGGAATGATCAATCATTATATTTGATACAAATCTTTAAATAAATTTAAATTTTTAAAAAATTTGTGTCAAATTTATTTAAGACCCGACACGTAAATGTAGAAAAATCAGACAAGGGAGGTTACATAAGGTCATTCCTCATTGAAATATATTGATAAAACATTAAATAATCAATATCCTAGTATTTTGAAAACCTTTCCTTAAACATAAAAAAAAAAAATGAGGAGCCGACAAGCCGAGCCGAAAACCCAGCTTGCGTGTGAACCAAGAAAAATCGTACACACAAACCACTATTAACCTAGATCAATCTGAACCGCCCATTCCATAACGGCCTATGTCTCACCGTCCATTTGTGCCTTCCCCGAACCTCGAGAATCGCAACCTGATTTGCCTTCTGTGCATGCGTCCGGTTTCTGACCGTACACGTGTCAATTAGAGGTAGTGGATACTTACGTGGCACCGTAATTATCGGTACTAGAGCGTGGAAGTCGGACTCTAAGATGGGGCAGCTGGGGCAGGCTGACCGGCTGCCCAGTGGTGGGGCCGCGGGGGCACGCCGATGGCGACGTGTGCAGTGGCACTGCCGGGCGGAATGAGGCCAGGCGGTCAGTCTCCTCGAACGGTCAGTCGGGCATGAGAGAGAAAGAGAGGCGGGTTTTTGGATTTTGAGGAGATTTGGTACCCACGCAGACAGCCACTGAAGGCCTCAAATTTCGCTCTCTCTCTCCGGTCGCTTTCCTCTAATCCCAATATTTTAGAGAGAGAAATAGAGCTTAGAGAGAGAAAGAGCATGTGGCCCCCGCCACTAAGCTGTACAGGTCGACTGTACTGAGAGAGAGAGAGAGAGAGAGAGAGAGAGTGAGGGAACACGAGAAATGGAGTGCGGGTTTTCTTTATAAATTTTCATAGCCTTGTGGGGTGAAAGTATATTAATTATTTATTGATGGCTTCCACCCATGAGACTCGAACTTGAATTTCAAAAGGTTCTGGATCAGCGGATCGGCAGTTTGGATCGGCGATTCAGCCAAATAAATGGTCTAACAAAAAAATAAATATAAAATAAATATTTAAAATAATATAAATTGAAAGATGGGGACCGAGTTGGCGGTTCTTATGCATCAATTGGTTCTCGATATGTAAGGGATTTCAGATTTTTTCTAAGGATTTTTTTAATGTAGATTTGGTATTTTTGATCTGAATCAAATGGTATAACTGGCCAGCTCATTGGACTGTATAACAACGCCAGGGATTTATGTTAAAATGCCGTGTTTTAAAATTGAAAAAAGTTTATACAAAGTTGCAATCTTAAAATGTAGAGTTACATATGCCCTTCAAAAATCCTTGCGAAAAGGTGGTTTTAATGTTGAAAAAACCTCTAATTGGTTAGATGTATGCATATGAAAGAAAAAAAATATATTGAGTCCTATAAATAGTGCATTTTGCCGTACAATATCTAGACCCTCTATTTTTAATATTTTCATATGTTTATCGGTCTGCTTGATTTTAACCATTTTTCGAATTTAAAATTTTATAATTAAATATGAAAATGAATTTTGAGATCATCCTATAAATTTTTCACCAAAATTACATTTTATGACAAAATTTCGAGGTGTGCCTCAATTAAATTGTTTAAGGTTGCAACCTTATAGAAACCACACCCTTTAAATTTTTGGATCGGTCATATTGAATCCAATTGGTCGTTGGACTAATATGGACTGTCGATTTGGGTCAAATGGGGCTTATTTTCTAGTACGGAAATCGGTGTAATAAAGTTAATTTAAAATTAAAAATTAAGAACAAAAATTTGAATAGGCGGCAACCTGACTAATTCGAATTGTCAAATTCCCTAACACGCTTACCGTGTTTTCTAATAAATCGGATCGAGTACCGAATGAATTTCCAATTTCCTCAAGTAACCGAGTTGGTTCCCACCGAATCGCCATTTGAATTGGTGATTCTTAATCCATGTCATCAATTTTTTTTTTTTATTTGGACACGATTAAAAAGTTGGGTTATATTAAGGTGCTTACACTCTATAACATTTTATAATTGTATTCAACAAATTATTGATATTTATATGAAAAATGGTTTTATAAGGTTGCATCTATATAAAAATAAGTAAAGCTTCGCCTTAAAACTCAACGAAAAATACAATTCAAGTATTGGAAAACTTCCACATCGATCATCTTGGCTTTAACATTATGGTTGTGGAAAAAATTAGAATTTCAAGCTCTTAAAATAGTGTATATTGTAACAAATTATCTAGACAGTTCATTTTGCCCTAAAAACAAGTGTTGACATATTTGCAAGATCTATATAATTTTTCAAGCTTCAAATTTTATTGTCGGTATTAAAAATTGATTTGAGAGTCATGATGAACATTTTGTTGCCGAAATTGCTTCTTAGACAGGGATTTGAGGTGATGCGTTATTTTGCTTTCATAAAGCCTAAGTCTTACATAAACTTTATCCTATTTATATACATTTGTTTTGTACATGGAGCATTTCTTTAAATAAAAGTATTTTTAATCATTAAGATGTATGTGATATCACCCACACAGAGAACAGTAGTGGCCTTTAATGCCATGTGGGAGATATCACGCTCGAGGTGGGTGATGTCACACTCCTCTTAATGACAAAAAATATTTTTACTAAAAAAATATTGTATTATAAAATAAAGATATATAAAGAGAAAAGTTTATATAGAGCCTCAGCTCTAAACAATCAAATTAGATCCTACCTCAAAAATTTTACTAGAAGAGGTTATTTTGATGTCCAAATATCCTCAAATTGATCATCTCGACATCAAGATGCATGGACATGTAAAAAAAAATGGATTTCAAGTTT